AAATTTATTATTATGTGAAAATATAAGAAGTATTTTATTGTTTACACCATATTTAATTACAATGATTTTTCATCAATGGTTTGTTTTCTGGTAGGTGCCGGCAACCCATTTTTGCGTGATCACATCTAATTATATTAAAAGTCATATGTGAGATATGAGGTCTCATATTTGGGAATTCGGATTACTTCAAATTTTTGTAAACATTGCCTTTATATAAAGAGAGAGAGCAAGTAGTTTAATAGACAATCTGATAAAACTGGAAGTGGTCATTAAAGTATGCAGTGTTTCAACTTCCAAGAGTGTTATCTTCTACTCTTCTATTTTTATTTCTAAAATTCCATTATATTTCTGAAATTTATGGATAAAATTTAGGAAATTATGTTGAAAATAATATAAATTATTTCGGATTAAAATTAAATTGAACGAATCTCTCTACAATAATCATGATTAGAAAGATTAGGGGAGATCGGGGCAACTTCGGCATGCGGGGCAAGTTTGTCAAGCGCTTTTTTTAAAAAACAAATTAAAAGGAGACTTTGGTTATAGGTTAGGCAGTTAAGTTTTATTGGTGGATTGTTGAGTGTAGTGTTTTTATTGTTCTCCAACAAGCGTAGTTGAATTATCAAGCAAATTTTCATTTTCGTTCAATTCCATATAATATTTTTTTTCCATTTATATTGAATTGGCAGGTTTTGTTATAATTCCATGATAACGAAAGTTACTTTTCCTGTTAGAAGGATGTAACTTCAACTTATTCACGTGGCCAGATCGTGGCTTGGCATTCTGTTCTCAGGGTTGTACTTAATGTTTCGAAATCATGACTAGCGGGGTAAGATCGACAACATAAAGCCACATTATAAGCAAAGGATAAAAATCAAACAGATGATAAATGAAAACATGTTTGCATTTGTTATTCATGTATATATGTCTTTGAACTTGCATTTCGTTGTAATAATATTAAATGGGTGTTGGATTTGTATTTCTTTGTTTTAATAGTGAATTCCAACTTATACATTGTTAATAACATAATTTTATATACGTGCCTATCTTGACCCATTACTGTTGCCCCTATACCAGGGGAAACTTTAATAAAAATAATTAAAATAATTACAACTTTACAAAAAGAGAGAAGTTGCCGATCTTGCCCCTATATCCGGGGCAACTTCGTCAATTTCTCTCTTCTTGTAAAGTTGTAATTATTTTAATTATTTTTATTTCCAAACTGATTTTAACCAGTTCTATAGTAAGGTAACATTCCAATAGACAATATGCAAAGCTTTTTTTTTCAGTTTACAGCAGTATTTATTACACAAAATTTAAGTAAAGCTTAACATGCCGATCTTGCCCCGATCTCCCCTAAATTCTTAAAAAGACTATCTTCTAGTAATATTTCTATTTTGTCCAAGAGCTATAATTCTTTACACTTAGGCCTACTACATATTACAATAATACAAGAGTCCAAAACAATTAGTGGAGTCATTAGGATCAATAATTCAATCGTCATGGTGTTTTTATTGCAACGTTTTTACAAGATAAAAATTTACGGTAAGAACATTTTTTCTTTCGATTAATAAGTTTTTTCTGATTTTCAGAAAAAACACAATAATTCTAAATTTTATTTTAAATATTGAGCGAACAAGTAACGTATAATGTATTATTATTTTCATTTAATATATTACTGTATTAACATTTATAAGCTTTTTGAAGTATTTTGTTGTAATTTTCATTTCATGATTTTATTCATGATTTTTGCACTTTTGAGTGAAATTCTCTTCCTTCTGTAAGAGGATTTAAATCCTTATTCTAATTATATTAAATGTTTTAATTCTTCTGATACATAATTATTATGAGTTAGATTTATTTTTTCATTCCCTATTTTTCTCTTTAGGATAGCCTATGTATTTTTTCAAATTAATTGAATTATCATTAAAATATATTAAAGAATGCGCTATTCCAAAACTTACATAACGTTTAGCTCAATCTAATGAACATATGCGACATTGAGCCTAGAACTGTTACTATCGACATCATCACACTTGATGTTAATGAATAAAGCATGTGACTTAGTGTCTTTAACAAGATAATGAAAAACATTCGTGTTGCTGGAACAACACGAACGCATGCGTCGTAGCGTAATTGACTCTTGTATCGATGCAAATTGTGTCAAAGAAATTGTGTAAAGATACATGTAACCAATTACAGAGTGGAATACAATAAATCCAAACGAACTCTGTAGACAGAAGATAGAACTATCGAAGCTACCGACCGAAACGTTGTATATAAATGCATGGCTGATGTAGAAATGTTCCACAGAGCATTTCTGTGAGCTACAGCAGCGGTCGCCAACCTTTCTGACCTCACGGACCACTAAACTTACAATTTTGAATCCCGCGGAACATTATCATGAATTTTTTAAACGACAAAGCATCTATAGAATAATGATGATAAACGTTCCATTTTACTTTATTTTACTTTATTAATTAATATGAAATTCACTTGTTTCATTATATCAAATTAGCGTGAAAGTTTGTTGCTGCTTGTTTGATATAAATTCATGGATTCTTAGCTTTTTTCCACTAAGGATGACAATCGTACATTGTTTATTGATTTATTTGTATTATTAATAATTGATAAAAGTTCTTAAGTGTTTGGTTTTAGATTCAAATAAACCCCCCCAATGAATGAATGAATGACCAAATTTCTCCACGGACCACCAAAATTTTCTTGAGGACCACCGTTTGTCGACTGCTGAGCTACAGCGTCTGCTATGGACTCCGCAGTCAGAGATAGAATCGAAATTTGGAAATCATGCCCGTGTCCATTACTACTTCCGACTGGATGACTAGATGAGCCTAATGAAATTGAATAGAATAGAATCAAATTAATCAAGCTAAATACCTATCAAGCGTTATTAAAATCAATGCCAAGAAGAAATGCTTCTGTCTCATTGTCACTCGTAGTGACCAACAAGTTATAAGGACCTTTCTGTAACATTTTGAGAGGAATGTAAAATTATTTCTTAGTTATTAAAAAATGTATAATAATAAACGTTATTCAAGTCTTTTATATACTGTGTTAAATTTTTAAATTATTTCGAATGTGCATAAAACCCGAAAATATTGAAATATTTTATAAGTGAAAAAATAATACATTTATTATACTATGATACGCTTCATGTCTAGTCTTTGTATTAGCTTGTAAGCACTAAATTGGCCTTTCTCTATTGCTAGACTTATTACACCACCTCAGGACATCATATTAGCCTTATAAAATCACTTTATTATTTCAAAAATGAATGCGTGTCGGACCTTAAGTCTCTCCTCCATAAGTTGTACAATAAAGTCATTGCTATATACTGTATTTATGTAGGAATAAGACTAAAATTAAATTGTTTCACATAGAAAAGTTTGAATTACAAAGATTCACCTCAACTAAATCGAATTACTGTATACATATTATGTATAAATTACTTTATATCTTAATAAAAGTATTTCTCTGTAGTTAGCTGCAGAGTCTCTCACGAGTGGGTGTACGCACTGATTTGATTGTAAATAGATTAGAAAGTGGTGCCATCTATTAAATAATTTTATAATTATTATTTTTAAGAGTTTTACTCCAATTATCTTTCTGTAATACTGTTTAAATAAAATGTATTTATTACCTTTTTTGTTAAATAAATTTTAAACTTTTAATTCAGACAAAAATTCAAAGTTTTATTTGATCTAATGAAATAAGCACGCTCGAAACTTTTTACATTATATACATTAAATATAATATTGATTAATTCATTTCACTTTGTAAAACGTCACGATTTTTGATACACGGTTTATTATAATTACTACTTTCTAATTCAATGAATATAAAAAGATAAATTTAAAAATTTATATATATACAGTATTTTTTTGTTTGTTTCCTTGCGTAAATAAAATTGTTTTTTTTTTTTTTTTTAATTTCTTAGATAATTATAGTGGACATTTTCGTTTTCATTTTAATAATCAAATGGAGTAGAAAGTAGCAGGATGATTTAATGGGAAAATACAACTGGAAGCAAAGGGAAAACATTAATTACCAAGAACTGAAGTGTAAACGAATTAACTTTCAATTGCACTTCCTATTTCTTAAGCAGGTCGCTGATCTTGATGCCCAATTTGCCTCACACATATTTCCTTTGTGCTAAAATGTCTAAAATTAAAGTAAATTCGAGTTTTAATTTAACGTTAAGCTTTTTATTTTCGTTTCTGATTTTTCCTCCCTCTACGCATTATGTAATTGCTTCCTTAATCTCGGTTTGATCGTGAGATGAAAATCAGGTAACATTTCAACTACAAATGATGATGATTGAACGAGTTACATTAACTGATTAATAGTATTTCGTATCAAGCAAGATAAATATATTTTAACTTTTCTTTATTTGACACGCACAACACGAATCCAATAATTATTGGTCTGTAGTTAATTTATTGCTCTTTTACGCGTTGTATATTAATTAAATGCGTTTTTTTATATTAACCTATAATGAAATTGCACCTTTTATGTCAACATATTATTATTCAATGAGTGAAATAAAATTTTAATTATAGCTTGATTACGAATAAAGAGAAAAATGATTAAACAATCCAATATTTTCGTAATGTAATTTCGATACAACTATTTTAAAACTTCAAAAAGAATTTAAAAAATGTAACTGGATTTTCATCACCCGTTTCGTTAAAAATATTGATTTTATTAAATATTTAATAACAAAATTTTTTGTATTATTAAAAATATAAACTTTTATTATACTGTAATTATAATTTTATTGCAAATAGAATTTAAATTTTGCCCCGTGTAGAATTCTCAAAAGTAAACAATTAAGAATTCTATTCAATCAATGTAAGGAAAAGTCTATGGAAAGTCAAGCGTGATAAATATTTTATATTACTTTAAAGTAAATGTAACTTATTCTTAATGATAAAATAGTTCAATTTGAGATAAAGTTTAAAATATTCTTTTATTATTATTATTATTATTAATTGTTATTATTATACACAAGATACAAGACGTCGTACAAGTATTGAGTAATTAAGTTTAAGAAACATTTTCGAGGGTATACTTTTACATTTTATAAATGAACGTTGTACCTGTACATATGGAATTTTATTTTTCATATACAAAATAAAAACAAACTTTGTTCCTTTGAAAGAAATCAAACAATTCCGTTCTTGATCGTTCGTGGAATTTCTCAATGGAAAACGTCATCGAGCGTAGGGCCAACTAGTTTCTTCCTTAAGAAACTATAACTTGAAATTCTTGGAATAATTTTTGTTGGAAATATCCCGAACTCTAAAAATAAAGGAAGAAAAAAATAACTATTTTCTTTCTGTAGATACCGCTACTTTGTAGCGCAAGTAATAGCTTCGGCATTTCGCATTCCTCTTAGATGACGTCATAGGCGTAGTTGCAGCGCAAGTTGGTTCAGGAAGTCACCTCTTAGAAAGAATTTTTGCCCCAAGCCAAGTTCTGGAATGAAACTACTTCGTAAATAAATCGTTGTAAGTCTATTCGGATTCGAATACATTATTTAAAAAAAAAAATTAGTCTAATAGAATTACTTCATTAAATATAAATAAATAGCCGCTTTATCGAATTTTAAAAAATCGGAATAGAAGTTTTAGATTTCGTTAAGATGACATCACGCTTTAGAAATACAAAGCTTTCCGGTTGTTTACATCCTAGAATACGCTCCCATACACTCACCCTTCTACGTCGATAAAGTGACCTTGACTAAGTGTTTTGAAGAAAAAAGTTACGTGGGTCCCTGTAGCGCAGTGGATAGCGCGTTGGACTTCTAATCCAAAGGTCCCGGGTTCGAATCCCGGCAGGGATGCTTTTTACTATAAATTTGCCGTTAATTAAGCCTTTCATTTCTATTGTACTTTAAGAAATTTCTATCTTTACGTTAACTTTTATTGAAGTCAATATTATTAATAGAAGCGATAAAATTCATTTTTTAATTGATTTGCTAAATTTTTTTTATCTATAGCAAGTCATTTAAAAACTTAATTACAAATCAAGTATCCGAGCTGACCTAAATTACGCTACAAAAGTTTCTCTTTTTTATTTCTTAATAAACATTAGCTGACTAAATATAAGCGTGAAAGAAAGTGCAAAGGAAAAGCTAATCACGATTTAAATTGTTTAGTACATTACTTAACTATAAGTCGCACTTCATAAAAATTTTAATAACTATTTATTTAATTGAATTAATTTAATAATAGTAATAAATATTATTAAATCCTGTTGATAGTGATGATAAGAATAATATAGTAATAATATCATTATGAAATAGTATCTATGAACAAGTTAGTTACGACGTTTACATGAAGTAAATAAGACTTTTTGATGTAAAATTTCTAAAATAAAATCCTAATTAAAAATATTTCAAAAGTAATTGAAGTCCTTGCTCCTTTTAGATATTATCTTAAACTATTTCGGTAACAAATGAATGAGAAAAAATCGACCTTTGTCTCCGTAATCGATAAACGAGTCGTTCAGTCTTTTTATGAGATTTAAAAAGGCTAATGACTAATTTCCGCTAGAAAAATTGGAATTTATAAAATTAAAAAATACAACATAGTAGGAAATAAATGTATTTCTTTATGTGTGTGACAAGACTTTATATGTAAAATCCTTATTAATGGCAGTGGAGGACCTATATTTTAGGTGCCCTGAAGGTTGAACTGTCAAGGGGCCCTTCGCAACCAGCAATAATAGAGTAACATCCAAAAAAAAAGTTGCTTCAGGGCCCCTCTAGGATTAGGGGCCCCGAAGCTTAAGCTTCATTAATTTTATAATAGATCCGCCACTAATTAATGGTTTAGTTTTATCCAACTATTTATTTTTAAAAGTTTCATTTTTTAATGCATTGCTAAAAATATTCTGGATATGTTTATATTTCTGTAATATTGCAAATTCACTGTATTATTTAAAAATAATGTTTTACAACATACGGCAATAAATTATTTTAAATATTGTTCTTATAAATATTATTCTAAATTTGTTCATTTTATTTAATTTCATCAAATTTTCCAGAAATCGAATTGATTTCTTAAGAATTTATTTCATAACAGTATCATTTATTTTAGTAAAAATGACTAAAAAAATACTTTAGATCTTCATTCAAATTTAATTGAAGATATCATTTTTGAATGCAAATTCTGAGAATAATAAGTAGTAATGACACGTGTATCTTTGATTTATAAGTTATATTTTCTAAGATCTATCGCAAAATATTAACAAATAAATTTTTAAAGATAATGACAGAAATGTATTAATATATGTAATGTAGGAATTTACTTTATAAATTTTACCAATTGAAATATTATGGTTTAGTTTCTGAATTTCCTTAACTTTTTTCTATATACGAATACTTTATTGCTTCTGTAAGACCGATAATAAACAATCGAGATGCTGGATTAGAAATGACAGTTCGTCCCATTCGTAGTTGGTGATGCGTATTGGGCCGTATCCGTATAAGATGGATGTCACGCCATATTAGTTTCGAAGCATCGATTTTGTTTACAATCATAGATTCTGAAATGTTTATAAATCGCGAGAGTGTTTTTCCTCACTGGCCTCTTCGCATTAAGAATATCACTTGGATCTGTTAGAAAGTAAGATTTTATCTGCGCTTGTTAATCAAAACGACACGCCTAACAAGTTAAGCGTATCGATAGATTAAAAAGAATAGCATATATTAGTTTATAGTAGCGTACATTTAATATTTGGCAGATTTAATCTAACCGTTTCAAAAATTATTTTAAAATATTGGTATATTTAGAATTACTTAATTATCTAGAGCACGTGTGATTATGTTACAATATTGCTAAACTCGATCTATGTTTTACAACCAAAACAGTTTTTCGAAATGTCACAGTTTATTTTGACAGAATTGTGATGAAATTCTATTCGAATGACATTAATTCCAAAGAAAAGTGAAAGAACTATCAATCTCAATGTTGAAGGGCACAAACACACTAACGCCCCCTGTAGATATGTTCCGGTAGCTAACGATTTAACCACCAAGGCGGCCTGTCATGGTTGGGGGGAGAAGAACTCGATCGAAGACTCTTCTGTAATAGCTTCGGTAACGACCTCTGGAGCGACGACCTGGCAAATGTTGGCTCGGCGGGGCCTCCTCTTCGAGTTATCAAAACTGTCATTCTCGGAAATCAATAGAGCTTACTACCATAGTAGAATTTCTTTTTACTACTTTTTTAAAGTTTTGAAAACACAAATAAGACTTCCGGAGAACGTCTACCCGAGCCGTAACTCATTTAATTTCGGAACAAAAATTATTAATGTTTATTTATTTAAAATATATTTAACTTTAATCGATGTCAGAGCTTTAGTAATTGAACTGAATGCATGACATATTTATTGAGATCTTCGTTTCAATGGCGAGTTGCGACACTCCAATCTTTCATCATTGACAAAACACAGCCTGCGGGGCACGACCATGCAACGGATAATTACGCAATCTCAAATATGCGTTTTTGTTTTTAAACTGAATTTATTTCCCTATTGTGAGACCTTGTAACATTATACTTTTATGCCATTGTTAAAACAACAAATAATTATAACAGGTTATGTATTTTAACAGGTTATATATTCTTATATGCGGGTTTAACTATATTACCGATTCGACGAAAAACACCAAATATAACTAGACCTAAAGAGTAGAATATTAAAGCTCATTCTGATCATGTGTGTCCGGTGGCACGTTATAGTTTCGTGGGGCCCAGGCAATTGGCCCTTTTGCCCATAAGATAACGCGTCACTGTGATTTTGTTCAACATTATCAACATGTTTGTAGCATGATAAAGAGAACTGCACCTTATCGAAAAGATATTAGTTTTTGTCATATTGAATTAAAACTAATTAAATATATTAAAATAATTATATAAATGCTAAATGCTAAGGATAATAATTTAGCGTCATTCGAGAAACAGCTGCACAGCAGTCGTTTCGCTCCAGAAACAAATATCATTTTGTAGTGCCAAAACTAAGAAACACCGTCTGTATTTCAGCATACACATCAGTGCTTCGTTCCGCTTTCAGATATAATTATTATGGCCAAATTCTACTTGTCAACGAAGTGTGATGACCCTTCGTCATAATTGCAATGATTTAAAAGTGATTTTTGCCTAACTCGAATTTTCGGATATCCAATATATTTTCTGTCCCAATCTGTTTTAATTTTAAAAAAATGACAAATCTAATCTAAGATTTTATTTTCTTGCTCTCCTTATTTTAATATATTCTACATTTTAATTATCTAATAATTACATTACATAATTTAGAATAGCGATTTATAAACAAACAATAGTAAATGTTCCCTAACTGATGAACTAATTTAGAATAACGTGATTCATTTTTTTTTCTTAGAAGACAAAAGATAACTTTTCCAGATTAAAAAAATAATAAGATTAATAAAACAAAGAAAAGAAATTGTCTCCAAGTGAGAAATTTATGGATGGATGATAGGACATTGTTTCATATATCACTAAATTTTACTATTGTGTTCTATTTTAAAAAGATTTCAATAACAAATCTGAGTATTTATCTCCTACGAGAAACATTAATTCGTTGAACAGTACTTTCTCATTACTAGATTTTAAAATATTGGTAAAATCTAGTAAAATCTTCATACAATATTTCATTGTTTTGGCAAGTTAAACAAAAATTATTGCAGAATTAAAGAAAAATGTTTCATTCCTAAACAAATTTAACAGAAAATATGTGATTTATAGAAGAGTTGGGCGAAAGCTTTTGAACAGTTTGGGAGTGAAACAATTTAAAAGCGATCTCCTCCCCACGAGGAGATAATTCAGTCTTTTAAGGAGCTATCATTCACGTTTTATAAATTTTAATTCGCTAAACACTTGTAATAAACAATAAGTTAATCAAAAGAGAAAAAGGATTTGTTAAAATAAAATAAAATTAACTATATAAACACGTTAATACCGAGTTATATATTCTACATTTTTTATAGTAAATTGTTTCAAGAACCAATTTTAGTCATTCTAATATTAAAGACGTTAACATCAAATATTTAAAAGTTAATAAACAAAAAGTAAAAGTTAAATATGATAATTAATAAAGTTATTGCAGTCGAAAGAAAAGTGTAAGTTCTGTATTAACTACTGTACGTCCTCTTTGCCCTTACGCGACCTACTTAAATCACTACTAAACGTTAGAAAATGATTTAATAGTCCATAATTCAAGGTCTAGAAACGTTTCACCCTTTGTGTTTTTTTCTTTTCACCGATTAAAGTGTATTCAACTTGATTTTTGTGGAAAAAAAACCAAAGCTGTTTCAAGTATTTATCTCGAATGAGGAAAACAAACTTTATTTCGCTAGTAAAGGGTAAATGGACGACATTGATTTTCTGTTTTCTAATTTTTCTACCACGAAGTTTTGAATGGAACGTACTACCCGCATTGTATTGGTGGGAACAGCTGCCTTTAGAAAAACATTGTCCCTGGCTTGTCTATCCAGTTTCTCCTCCAGGTGCTTATCACTTGCGTTCGTCTTTCTTGGTCCCATTCCAGAAGGTCAAATGGAAAAAAATGAATTGGTCAGAAAAAAAAAGTAAAATTTCTAAACATTTTACTCGAATGATTGCTTCAAATTATGAAGACAAAAACAAACATTCTTTTTAAAAGTAGTTCTCAGCTCTTGAAAAAGTTTAAAAACGAGTTTGTTCCTCGTATTTTTTGTTTACATCAGTCTACAACTTATTTCGAAATTGCATAGAAACCGATATCGCTTTATCACTATTACTAGATTCGTTTGGATAATTACTTGTCATCAAATCCAAAGTTCTAAAAAAATTATGTCATGCAATGACGTCATCAAAAAATAATATATTTAAGAATCACGTAAGCCTGGTTTGCCCTGTGTTTGGTAATTGCTTTCGAAACCTAAAACTTGCGTAGCTTGCTATATAAGGTATTACAAGAATTGTGTATCATTTTAATTTTCAAAAACTTACAATGAACTTTGAATAGCTATTATATTAAATGCAGAAATAAGTTTTATATAAATAGAAACTGTATTTATGTTAAATATTTTTTGCAATCATTTAAACAATTCCTGATGAATGGCATGGCGTATTCAAAAGATTTATTTTAAAATATTACAAAGTTATTTGTCGTCAATGTTATTATTTAATTTCTATGGAAAAATATAAAATTTTAAATTCTGAAAGTTTTAATTTGCTTTGTAAAGATGTTTAATAGCGTAATAATATCGAAAAAACTCAGAGATGATAAATAATAATAGTAATAAACGTTAAATATAGAAATTAATAAAACGGTTGCAACAGTCACAATGTTTTCATTATTGCAAATTGTAGACGAAATTAGAAACTAGTTACTGCAATAATGTTTGCTGATTATGCTTCGTGTAAATAATGTTTATTCGATTTATACGCATTTATTTTAATTATCTTTATTCATATTATCCAATCATAAGCCTCTTTGGATTCCTTACTTGATAAGATAAAAGTTATAAATTGTTTCAAAAATTAATACATATATTGTAAAGTGTATTTTAGTTTTTACTTGTAATACAGAGTTTATTTCTTGGTGAACATTATGGATTTTTTTATATTTTTATAATAAATAGTTTTAAAAAATTAAATCAATTAAACTGAACATGAGTAGCAATTTGTATATTTCTTACCATATAAACTTTACTACAGCATAATATTATAGTATTTTCCAGATTAAATTGTTCCAAATTCGATAAAACTAGTTTTGATTCTGATACATACAAAACCATTTCACTTTCTTCACTCCAATTAACTTTGCATGTTCCAAATTCTATAGTTGTTATATAGTCAAATATAAAAGTTTTTAAACGGAAGTTTAAAACTTTTACATGTGAAATATTCTAATAAACAATAATGTTTTAATTATACATTATTCATTTACACTTTATTAGTCTTTAAATGAAATTTAATATGAGTAACTTTACTTACTTTGCAGTGTATTTCATTTTTTATGACTGGAATGTTTTTTTCTTCCTCCATGTCCATTCATTACGCTTCCATTGAGGTCCACGGATGCCATCATCCTTGTTACTTCTGCTTGGGTTTCTTGAACTCCTGAAGGTCCATCACCATTTGCAAAAAATTGCAAATTAGCTAGACTATTAGAACGAGAAGTGTGCTCTTGTCGTATAGAGTAAGAGAATGCCCGTTCGTTCAAATGTCCTTTCTTTTTATAGATACCTGTATTAAATGGAGAATCCACTTCCGACTGAGAAGGCTCAGAAGGGCTTTCCGGTCCTATATGTCTTCTTCTTCTGGGTGTTCTAGAATGATGACGAGGAGCAGTATTAAATTGCATGTAATATTGCTCGTGTGGAAATGCAGATGGCTGATATGATGATACTGGACTTGTAGGTCTGATAGAAGGCATATATAAGGGTTCTTCTGCAGGTAAATAAGCCCTATCAAACCGCTTATTTCTTCTTTCTGTATACAGACCCGATGTAGCGTATATCTGGTTCTGATGACGAGGTGGTCTTCCCATGGAAGATACTGATCTGTAATAATTACCGTTTGTCATCTGTGACATTGATTCCTGCTTGGATTTGAGATTCTTGGCTGGTTTCATTTTATTGTTTTCAACCGGTAAAGGAGGAGGAGGCCGAGACGGTAATATCATCTGCCGAGGTTTGTTCTTAGTAGCCGTAATAGATTGATTGCTACGAAAAGTGCCTCCCACATCAGAATAGATGGCCTCTTTTTCCACATGTGGTCTACCAGTCCACACTTTATAATTATCATCTTGCTGTGAATTATCACTTATGATATCGTTTCCATTAGTAAATCCATTGGTAGTAAATTCTGATTTCTCGTCGTGACTTCTACGCCATTCCTCGACTTTTTCCAATGTGTTTAAGCCAGACATAGATCTGGATCTTCTTGTATCGAGATAATAAGGATTTTCCTCCATTTGACGGGCATATATATTGTCAGCATAAGCGTGAAAACAACACCTAACCAATGCATTGGCGGCAGCTTCTTTCTTACAAATAAAAGCATGGCATTCTAATACTTTGATTCCTTCTGTTCTTCTAAGAATACAAGCAAAGAGCGGAGGATGACCAGAATTTTGTCCGGCACGATGACCAAAGGGACTATCCAAAGGAAGAAATTTTTCCACACCTTGTGCACCACTTCCAGGAACCACCATATAACGAACAGCAGCGCAATAATGTAAAGTTTCCACCGGAAAAAAGCGCGTGACTTCACGTCGTGATTCGTCCACATTTTCCAACAAAAGTCCATTACTCCACACACTCAACCATGAGTCTATTCCACGAGCACTTAGCGGTCCTTGTTCGGGATATAATTCTCTCAATGGCTCTTGAATACCTTGTAGTCCATCTTTGGTTATATGAGGCACGGACGATCCCAGATAGAGGACACGACACCTGCAGATCGGTGTAGTGGCCATGCTTTTGCGCGTTTGTCTGTTGAGGTCTACTACATAAGAAAAACCGGTCGGGCAGGTGAGAAAAGTTTACACTCCTACCTGGTCGGTATTGGCCGATGCGGATGACGTCAGCTAAGACAGTGTACGAACAGACGGAAACAAATGTTATTTTAAATTCCTTTAATTTATTCAAAAAATTTTTTTTTGTTTTTTCATTTTTAAACTTGCCATCCAGAAAGTTTACCTTTTCTCTTCTAAGCATTTCGGATCGTAAGAAGGCGTAACGTTTGATAGAATCTTCAAAGTGAAAAGAATTTCTATGATTATTTCAACTTCAGATAATAAAGCGTAAAATAATTTGAAAATTTCTCAAATATTTTAAGTAATAAACAGCTAGGAAAAGACAAAAGTATTCAAATGGAATAAATTCAATTTCTAATTTTCGCTTACATGGCATTCACGCTTCGCTAAATGATCAATTCGAAATTGTTCAGTTCAATGCGAAAGAAAAAAATATTTTCAGAAAAATAAAAAGAAATGAATGCATCATCGACAGACAATCGCCGTTTCCGCTTTGATGACGTGACAAAGACCGACCAACCACAATTACGATAAGAAATTTAAAAATTATTTGAATTCAAATCTTGTTCAGTCGATTCATTTAATTTCATTAATTGGTTCGATTTAAATCATTTTTTTCCCTCAATTTCTGGACGAAAGTTAACTTGTAAATACCAAATATCTGATTAAATTTAGCTTTTTCGCACGTATTGATTAAAGTATTTATATAATATAATACAATATAAACATTTTATACATGCATTAATGTTTCCTTTTTTATTGTTAATGAACAATTTGGCTTACTGGCGCCATCTAGCGTACATATATGGCGACTTTATATTAAAATACAGTATATTAAAAATACTATAATTTCTGTAACTTTGAAAGTTACATATTACTTTTGATATGGTATAAATTCAATACGAAACTAAATAAAATTTTTAAGTTATTATTATTGATTTATAAATATTTTTGTAATATAAACCATTATATATGCATTATTTTTATATACAGTATACTAGTTGTACCCATCATGGCTGAAAAAGTTGTTGCTAGTTACAAATAAATAGAGAAAATAAAGAAACAAATACATTTATTTATATAAAACTTTGGTACTTTAACGAATTAGAAATAGATTTTGCCATTACCACAGAAGAAACTCGGGATATTTTCTCTTGCAGCTAGTTTTAAATAAAATTAAATAGAAAAATAGACGCAATAGAGCTCATATGTATCAAATAAGCTTAAAAATTATTTATAAAACGTTAAATCGTAAATGTAATTCATACTCAGTATCTTAATAAATTGGGAATAGATTGCACCTTAGCGTATTCTGTGTACACTGTATAGATATTTTACGAAAACTGAGCAAGTTGCCCTTGGCTCTGAGGAAGTAGAGGGACTTATACAGCATCGATAAATGAAAATCAGTATTTGAAAAGTATTTACGAACTAATTTTAAATTGATTTTACTCCGAAAAAGCGTTTACAACGAAATACTTCTAAACGACTGAAAAATTGGCAAAAGATTTACAACTTAATTGAATATTTACCCGAAAACTAATAAATCGCTTTCAGACACAGCCTATATCGTTACATTTGCCAGAATTTTGAAAAAAAAATTATAGAAAGATCATAGAAAGAAACTGTCTAATACCAAAATACACGAATTGTAAAGAGAAATTCCTGAAACTAAATGTAATACGAAATCCTTTGACTTTTTGGAAAGTTACCAAATATAGAAATATAGTTTATGTGAGGTCTTTCTTCGTTTCTTTATTCATCGCCAAACAAAATGGCGATAGATATACGATGTCAGAGTACGATAGGAAAAATACAGTATTCGGAAAAAACTAAGAGATATACCAAAATTAATACTATCAATTCGATTTATAGATTAAGATTTAAATGTTGTTATTTACAAAAATCGAGAACTGATTATATGAGCTTCTATTGAATTACTATATATTCTATCAGAATTAATTTGTCATAAAATCATATCATTATTTTTAATTAACTATTTACAATAAAAGTAATAAAATATATTATAAAATTTAAAATTTTTCGTATTCAAATAAATTTTATTTGTAATTATTTCTATGAATTTTATATACGCTTATGTCTACATATTAAAATGCTATATATGTAATTTATACGAAGTATAAAAGTAAAATAAAATATTAAAGAGGTATATAGTATACAAATATAAGTACAGTAAATAAATGCACAATAAAAGACAGATGTTTCGAGATACAGGTCTATATCAGGAAAAAATTATATATTCAGATAGAGGAAAAGGTGGTATTATGGAACCACCCTATTTCGAACTGATAATAAAGGCGAACTGGGAAAAAAATCCCTGTAGCGGATTGTGACTGAACTGAACTAGGCAGACACCGTTTTACTTCAGTTAAACGGTTGTCCGTATTTAATCAGCAAATTTGTTTTTTTCAAAATTCGCAAGTTTTGAATGCTAAGTGAATTTAATTATTTTTAAAATATAAATCGTGTAGTTGTAGGTTCACTGGTGCATGTATTCCGTTCCAGAGACTTAGGGGTACATATTAATCTGTGTGATGTTCACGTTTTTTAAATTTTGGTCTCGACAGACATAAGTTAATTCGAGATGGCGATGCGTGAAATACGGACCCCATTGGTGCTTTTACAGTAATATGGAACTCAACTCCTCCGAACTTTCTATTTGCAAGCAGACATTCCTCCAGAGCAATTTGTGAAAAAGACACTAGGTAGAAAGCCAATTCTTCCTGAGAATATCGAAAAAGAGCTGCTGGAATATATATTGTTGATGGAGGTCATATTTTTCTATTATAAAAGCATTTTTGCGATAAAATACATTGGAGTAAATAATTTTGTAATTATTTAACATTTTTTGTCCTTTCCTATTTGTTTTTGGCTACATTAAAGCATTTTTTTGAAAATATACAGTAAGGTTCCATATTACCACCCGATTTTCTCTAAGCCTACTTTCTGACTTTTTGTACAAAAGCCTTCAAAAATCATACTTATAGTTACACTAGCGAAAAATCCAATTAGGAACATTTAGTTTAATAGTTACCAGTACTTTTCGCACAAAAAATGTGGATGTAGTTATGATTGATACCTTGTTTACAATTCACTAAAATGTAATTGGGGTTCCATAATACCACCTACTCTTCTAATATTCTCTTTTATGTATACGAATAAACTAAATAGTTGTAAATAAAATAATAATAAAGATAAAATTAAATAATATTTCTTAAACATTTGAATAAAAAAAAAATGTTACGTGAAACTTGTAATCAACTAACATGTAACCAATAACTTGAAAATGCGACTATAATAACATTGACTGAAACTAGATCACAGAAACGACTAATAGATGAAGTGAAGAGGTGGTCAAACGATGATCACCCAGTAGAAAACACCTCGAGAGAAAAGTATCTCTCTCAGTGTTTTCCTTCTGGATACTTAATTGGGCTGCAATTTGAAAAAACTGTATACCTATGAATTCCCACTGTCGTCCGTCCGTCTGTTTTTCCTTAATTAATCTCGAGAACATAGTTAAATAGATGAAAAAAGAGAGCAGATATGGAACCAAACCTTACGTTATTTAAATTCAAAAATTTTCGTCTGAAAGTTGTTAGATAGATGCCGCACAACTCTGTTGTTAAAGAAATAGTTGTGACCGTAGGGTCGGTGTCTCTTTGACACCACGTCAGGAGACCTGANTAATAAAGCGTAAAATAATTTGAAAATTTCTCAAATATTTTAAGTAATAAACAGCTAGGAAAAGACAAAAGTATTCAAATGGAATAAATTCAATTTCTAATTTTCGCTTACATGGCATTCACGCTTCGCTAAATGATCAATTCGAAATTGTTCAGTTCAATGCGAAAGAAAAAAATATTTTCAGAAAAATAAAAAGAAATGAATGCATCATCGACAGACAATCGCCGTTTCCGCTTTGATGACGTGACAAAGACCGACCAACCACAATTACGATAAGAAATTTAAAAATTATTTGAATTCAAATCTTGTTCAGTCGATTCATTTAATTTCATTAATTGGTTCGATTTAAATCATTTTTTTCCCTCAATTTCTGGACGAAAGTTAACTTGTAAATACCAAATATCTGATTAAATTTAGCTTTTTCGCACGTATCGATTAAAGTATTTATATAATATAATACAATATAAACATTTTATACATGCATTAATGTTTCCTTTTTTATTGTTAATGAACAATTTGGCTTACTGGCGCCATCTAGCGTAGATATATGGCGACTTTATATTAAAATACAGTATATTAAGTAAATAATGTTTATTCGATTTATACGCATTTATTTTAATTATCTTTATTCATATTATCCAATCATAAGCCTCCTTGGATTCCTTACTTGATAAGATAAAAGTTATAAATTGTTTCAAAAATTAATACATATATTGTAAAGTGTATTTTAGTTTTTACTTGTAATACAGAGTTTATTTCTTGGTGAAGATTATGGATTTTTTTATATTTTTATAATAAATAGTTTTAAAAAATTAAATCAATTAAACTGAACATGAGTAGCAATTTGTATATTTCTTACCATATAAACTTTACTACAGCATAATATTATAGTATTTTCCAGATTAAATTGTTCCAAATTCGATAAAACTAGTTTTGATTCTGATACATACAAAACCATTTCACTTTCTTCACTCCAATTAACTTTGCATGTTCCAAATTCTATAGTTGTTATATAGTCAAATATAAAAGTTTTTAAACGGAAGTTTAAAACTTTTACATGTGAAATATTCTAATAAACAATAATGTTTTAATTATACATTATTCATTTACACTTTATTAGTCTTTAAATGAAATTTAATATGAGTAACTTTACTTACTTTGCAGTGTATTTCATTTTTTATGACTGGAATGTTTTTTTCTTCCTCCATGTCCATTCATTACGCTTCCATTGAGGTCCACGGATGCCATCATCCTTGTTACTTCTGCTTGGGTTTCTTGAACTCCTGAAGGTCCATCACCATTTGCAAAAAATTGCAAATTAGCTAGACTATTAGAACGAGAAGTGTGCTCTTGTCGTATAGAGTAAGAGAATGCCCGTTCGTTCAAATGTCCTTTCTTTTTATAGATACCTGTATTAAATGGAGAATCCACTTCCGACTGAGAAGGCTCAGAAGGGCTTTCCGGTCCTATATGTCTTCTTCTTCTGGGTGTTCTAGAATGATGACGAGGAGCAGTATTAAATTGCATGTAATATTGCTCGTGTGGAAATGCAGATGGCTGATATGATGATACTGGACTTGTAGGTCTGATAGAAGGCATATATAAGGGTTCTT